AATATTTTCATTTACATGAGATTTAAAATTAAATTTTTACTAAATAATAAAAAAAATCTGATAGATGTACTATAGTGAAATTTAAAAAAAAAATAAAATTACCATAAATTAGCAAGTATATCTTTTAAATAAAAAATTATAATTAAAGTTTGATTAGTTAGTTGAGTGGGAAAAAAGCAAAAAAAAAAAAGAAAAAAGAGTGCATGATAAAATGAATTTGCAGTAAATAAAAGTGGAAGGTAAATTAAATTCAATGAAGAATACTAAAAAAACATGTTAGGTTGAAACCAATGAATAGAAAACAAAAAAATAAAGGTAAAAAAAAAATTATCAAATAAAAAAGGGATTTTCAAATTTTCAAAAAATCCTAATATGTCAGGATGTTCATTAAGTTCTCCCTATTCAGACTCACTTGATTGACGGCTTGATAAACACACGGCAATCCGGCATCCTGATTTTCCGTTTTTACATAAAAAAATATTAACAAATGATAAGAAAAATATTAAAAAAGACTTACAAAATTAGCATGGGACGGTCATGCCCTTTATTCTTTAGATTCGTGATCCCATATATAACCATAATAGAAAATGCTATACTAAACTCACAGCGAGAACACGATTACCTAATCTCACCACCAAATCTTCGTTCTACGTTGTGATCAACAAAGTGAAAAATCCGAGTAACCTTATCATGTCTCCATCCAAAATTAAAAAATGGCAATAAGTCCTTTTAAAATGCTCCAAAGCACAAATGAAATGGTCTTTGTATTTTCTCAAAAAGAAATGGTCTTCGTATTCATCTCCATTACTAAGAACCTCACCGGAGAACAGAACCCAAGTTGATATGCGTCCATTCTCAGGCAGAAGGTCTAGAAGGTCTAGGCGGGTTAGCAACAAGGAATGCTGTTGCTACTGCAGCTGCTTCTTCTTCATCTTAGTCGGCGTCGCTATCTACATTTCGCAGGGCTTCAGAACTGACAACCCCAAATGCTCCGTCGACTACTTCTACGTGCCGGCGCTCAACAGAACCCTGAACTCCACCACCAATTCCACGTTGTACTTCAATCTGAAGCTGGCAAACCCCAACGGCGGCATCGGTATTAACTACAACGACGTGAAGGTCAACGTCACCGTGTTCGACGCCGTGGGAAACGGGTCCCAGTCGTCCCACCTCCTGGGGGACACTACGATCCAGCGCTTTTACCAGGGGTATGCAAAGGCGGCTGAGAAACCGGGTCATGTGGACTATAACATGACGGTGGTTTCCCAGGGGGTTTTCCCTAACGCGACGGCGGTTTTCCGGATAGATTTGGTGACGGCCGTAAGGTTCAAGAACGTGTTTTTGAGTAAGAGGCGTGAGATCAGGGTAGGGGCAAGAGCATTAGTCGACGAGAATGGTTCTATGGTTCTTCCAAAGAAGGAGAAGGACATCGCACTTGTTTCCATGGCTCCACAGCAGGGATGCTGCAGCTTGGTTCTGCTGATTCTGGGGAATTTTCTGGTCTTGATTAATTTGGTTACTTTTTTGTGAGTTTTTCTTGCTTTTCGCTTTTTCAAGGCTTTTGATTTTTATCTTCTCTTTCTCAAAAAGAAAGAAAATGTTGTTATGTACGAGGAATTTGCTCGTGGGAAATTTTTTTTAACAATTTGTAATTATTTACAGAGTTAATTGGGGAGGAGGGAAAGGATTTTCGTGAGTTTTAAATGTGCAACTCATAGAGGTGGACAGCCTTAACTCAGATTTCAATGTCACTGGATCAGAACGATGTGATTCTTGCTTGTGGAAATTTGATTCTTATTTTCATAAAAAGATAAATTAATTAAGTACATCTTATTGTGTGTATATATATATACACCTATAATTATTTTAAAATCTAATACGGTTTATATGCTTAATATGCTAAATTTAGTACACATACTCAAAAAAAAAAAAATTAACTTATAAATCTTGAAATAAAATCTAAAAACTTATTTCCGTGGCAGTAGTTAGTCAGCCTTCTTCAGCATCTAGCCATATCTGCCTAAATTGGTGTTTTATGAGTTCGATATTTCAAGTTTAAATAAATTTTTTATAATCAAATTAGATATGATAGTTTAGGTTATTGAAAAATGATTTTGAAATAATTTTTTTATATTATTTTTTGATATAATTTAATATATTATTTAAATAATTAATTTTTTTATTTATTCATGT